TATTGGAACGAGGAACCGTAGGATCCTAACTGGTGTCACTTTAATCAACTTTAACATTCCCCATAACATTTAAATAACCATGAACCTTAGAGACATTTGATTTGACATCATAACTTGACACATTAGAAAACTTAAACTCGTCATGACAAGGAGCTTGGAGCTAGCATTTTGGGCAGCACGATTGGGCAGCACGGGAAAACATATCTACATCAGCTAAATCATTCCTTAGAATTAAACAACAAGCCATAGGATTTCGAGGTTGTCCGCCTAGTGCGACATAAATCCTCAAACTTATCTTTAGGTTTTTGTATAGCTCTGCTACACAATATAAGTCCTAACCCATTTTAGGATTCCAAGGTTGTCGTTCGGATGTTGTCGTCCATCATGACCTAAATCTTCACATCTTCCAGTCTATTTGTGTGATCTTTTCACACGAATGTAAGTCCTAAATTAATAAAATTGACAGGATAAAACATTTAAATATTTCTTCTCTAAATTGAAGCCAAACTATAGGATAGCTTAGGAAGTCACCGAGGTTCTCCTCAGGATCTATGACATCCCCTAGTCTCTCTTCCTTTGGATTCCATAATATGTTTCAAATTTGAGTCATTCCCCTTTCACACCTCTTTGTCTGATTTCTTTGAAAAGTCCTATTCTTTGAAACTCTTTGAAGGCAATATCCACTGATTTTTATAGAGAGTTTTATTGAGTGACTTCAGTCACTTAAGATGTAATTAACTATAGGGGCTTGACCTCATAGGAAGTTTTTCCAAACCCAACTTAATATAAACCCTATTTAATTTTTCATATTAAATAGGAAAACTTATCGGTTTATAATAAAATTATTTTGCAGACTAAACAGATGTCATGCATTTCTTAGTTTGTTTGATCGAGTCTCACCCTCAAGTCTTATGTTTATCTTTCAGGATAAATACATGGCTTAAGGTGTGGTGCTCTTTCATCTAAACTTTGAAAGATATGAGATCAGTTTGATTTCATATTATTCTAAAAACTATGAATACATATTTAAATTAAAATGCCTTTCCGAAGCGGGCGACCAGACTCTGATTCCGGCGGCCGACAGCTTCCAATGTGTAACTCGTTAACTAAATAGTGCCGAAAACTATTAATAATTTTCATATCTAACGGGAGTTCTCCGGTTTAAATGAGCTTGATAACTTTTTTAGACTAAGTAAACTAAAGAGAAAATGGTGGTGTCAGAATAATGAAACCGTAGGATCTTAGCCGGTGTCGCTTAACATAAATTAAAATTTCCCCCCAAAATGAACTTAAACAACAACAACAATAACAAACTTGACATATATATTACAAACCATAAAACCTTGCACCTGGAGTCGTCACTTCGACGAGGAGCTTGGAGCAAACACCGTGGGCAACATGATGAGGACATACAGAAGAATATCTTCGAGACAGCGAACGAGATCGTCATTAGTAAACCTTTCCTTAGAATTAAATAACAAGTTATAGGATTTTGAGATAGCTCGTCTAGTACGACATAAATCCTCAACTCATCTTTAGGCCTTTGCACAGCAATGTTGTGCAATTTAAGTCCTAACTTGCTTTAGGCTCAGAGGTTGTCGTTCATTACGACATAAACCATTTTATCTTTTAGGGTATTTGTATGATTGTGTCACGCAAGTGTAAATCCTAAATAATAAAAATTAGCAGGATGAAACATCTAACAATATTTTCTTAAAATTGAAGCCAAACCATAGGATAGCTTGGAAAAACACCGAGGTTCTCCTCAGGATTTATGACATCCCCTTATTTCTCCCTTTGAATTTCAAAAATAATTGTTCTTATTCGATCTTTCCCATTTTAAGTTTCCCACGCCCGACCTTGAAATCTTAAACATTGAGAATTTTGAAGACAAATACCTCTGATCTAAATCGATAGTTTTCTTGAAAGACTTTGGTCATTTAGGATGTAATTAACTATAGAGACTTGCCCTTTTAGGGAGCTTTAAGAACCCAGGTAATATAAACCATGTCTAATCTTTTATATTAGATAGAAGAAATTTTCGATCAACATAAAAGGTTTTGCAGACCAAACGAATGTCATAAATTCATTAGTTTATTTAATCGAGCCCGATTATATAGTACTGTGTCTGTTCTTCGGGATAGATGTATGACTCGTGGTTTTGTACTCGTTTATTTAAACTATTAAATGAATGAGACAACCAACAACTTCCCATTTTAACGACCGACAATCCCTCCCTCAATTTCATCAAAAAAAAATAAAAAAATCAGAACTTAGCAGCTCCTGAGGCACCTAAGTACCAGTACTGGGCGCTTAGGAGCCAACCACTCTATCTTGGGGCACCTAGGCACCAAAATTGGGCTTCTATGCGCCACTATTTCTTTCCCGAGCTGCCTAGGTACCAAAACTAGGCGTCATGGTGCTACTTTGGGTGTTAGGTGCCGATCTGGCCTAATAGAGCTCAATTTGAGCGAACAGTCTACGAAAGGGCTTTTTAGGAATCCTTGAGCTTGGGGAAGCCATCTATAATTAAATTAAATTTCTCTTAAAGATAAAATACTCCACACCCAAAATTGAAAATGAAAAATGGCGATCACTTCTAGGCACGACAACATCAAGGCAAACTTCAGTTTCGTGCCCAACAATCATGGAAGGGTGTTATGGATGTATTTTAACATGAGAGGCTTCATATAAATAGAACATGATCCTCAAACTTCTAAATGAACATCTAGGATGCATCATATCAGACGAAAATCATGGATCGAGTTTAAAGACGATTGGAGTGGTTCAAACCCTAATTTTGTGTCAGGACATCCATTGAAGAGTTTTCTACTGACTTGAAAGCTATTATAAAGCACGTATCACTAAAATTTTACTCCATAACTTAAAAATGACCATATTGAAGGTTTTAAATTAGGGATTTTAATGTCGATGAGCAACCAAGACCTCCGCGTCGGGGGAAGGGGGTGTCTATCTGAACCATAATTTTTATGAAATGTATGTGGTAAGGTTTTATAATTGCCCTTGACCATGGGAGGCTCTGAATAAATGAAGCATGGTTTTTAAACACTAAAATAGACATTATAGGTGTCCCTTGTCGAAACCATCGAAGGAGAAGGGTGTTTTTCAGATGGTCAATGTTTAATGTAAGCAAACCATCTAAGGCGACTCTCTCTAATTTTGTCCGTCACTAGAGCGACACCAACTCTATCACGGATATATTTGTTTCTCATTTTATCTCTAAGTGTAAAACCACTCATCCACCTAATCATTCTCATCTTGACAACTCTTAACATAGTTTTATGCTTCTTTTTTAAAGGCCAACATTCAGCATCATAGAGCATTGCAGATCTCACCACCATCTTATAAAATTTTCCTTTCAGTCTAAGAGGTACTTTTCTATCTCACAATAGGCCTGAAGCATTCCTTCACTTCACCAACCAACTTGAATTCTACTAATAATATCTCCATCAATATTACCATCACTTTGAACAATAGACCCAAGATATATAAAACATTCAAATCTTTTAATAATTTGATCACCCATAGTTACACTTTTGTCACTAAAGCTACTACTACTAAAATTACATTCCTTGTATTTGGTTTTATTTCTACTCAAATGAGGGCATTTAGTCTCTAAGGTAGACCTCCATAATTCAAGTTTTTCTGAGCTTTTTCTCTCATCTTATCCACAAGAAGGATATTATCAGCAAAAAGCATACATCAAGGCACATCCCCTTGTAAGTGTCCAGTAAGACCACCCATAACTCAAGAAAAAAGTTAAGGGCTTAAAGTCAATCCCTGATGTAAACCAATAGAAATAGGAAAATATTTGGTCAATCTTCCTTCTGTTCGAAGACAAGTAACGGTACTTGTATGCATATCTTTAATGACTTGAACATTAGTCATATCAACACCTTTCTTGTCAAGAACTCCCCAAAGAATATCTCAAGGAACTTTATCGTAAGCTTATTCTACATCAATAAAAATCATATGTAGATACTCAGTATTATCTATGAACTTCTCCATCAAACCTCTCAATAAATGTATAGCTTCCATAGTAAACCTGCCCTACATAAATCCAAATTGATTATGAGAAATCTTTGTTATACCGCTTAACCTGTGTTCAATTACTCTATCCCATAATTTTAAAGTATGACGATCAACTTAATTCCTCTATAATTGGCACATTCTTGTGCATCCCTTTTTTTCTTAAAAATATGGACCAAAATATTATTTCTCAACTCCTCAGGTATCTTTTTAGTTTTTAAAATAATATAAAAAAACAAAATGAGCCCAAAATAAAAAGTGAAATAACAACCAAAGAGTGAATTCTAGAAAGGATATTTATGGTCATCTACTATTTCCCAAGTATTTATGTGAGCTGCCATGTGAATCTTTATTTTTTTTCTTTGATTCTCATTGAATGCTATTGGAAAAGATAAATTCATTCTTCATAAACCACTTCGAACAATTTCTACATGTATTACCTTTGCTTTACCAATTTTCCTACTTACATTTGTGACAGAAATTTTTTTGAATCAGATAATGTGATTTCCTATTGTTCGTTGAAAATCTCTAAATGAACTATGTTTTTTCAATCACATTATCTTCAATATTTATCACATAGGTTTTTCATCAAGTATAATTATTCATTTATTACTTGTAAATTATTTTTAATAACTGTCGTGCAGATCGATACATCATCGGCCTAATTGCAAGTTTTTAAAATCTATCCTTTAGCCTGCTTGATACACTCTTATCTAATAAAACTCTCAAAATACTTCTCCATTTCAATCATCAAGTCTTTACCCTAAAGTTGTATTCATATTTATATCTTTATTCTTCTTGTATTAAAGATCCAACATACTTGAACTTATCACACCAAAATATCATCTCATCTTCTAATGGTATTGAATGATAATGTATAAAATCATTCCAACTAATATTACATCTGTGAGGCTAACCTTGTTAATTCACAACCAGAACTTATAGCCAGCAGCAGTAAATAATCTCAGGGCAAGTACTTCTTCCGAGTTTGTACACAAATTTCTCTACACTTCATCAATGCCTTTCACAACGAACAATAACAAAAGTATGTGAAAAAGAAAAAAATGTTTTAACAATACATTCCCTTCATTTGTTCACTCAAGAATTTTAGCACACTGAACAAGCTCTCCCATTCATCATGCTGTGTTCTGCCCTTTGCAACAAAAGAATGCACTCTCTTGTTCACTTGTATCCAACTACACCCACTACCTTTCCTCACTCCCTTCTCTTTCATATTCCTCCTCATCTCCTCCACATCTCCCCACCTCCCAAAATTCGCCAATACATTTGAAAACAGCACATAATATCCCGAATTCGCACTCCCTGAATCAATTATCTGCTCTCCAGTATAGACTCCGATCTCAAAATTAGAGTGCACCATGCAAGCCCCAAGCAAAACTCCCCAAATTTCAACACTGGCTTTTTCTGGCATTGTCCGGACCATCTCCAGAGCCTCTTCTACCCTTCCTGAGCGTGCTAACAAATCAATCATACACGCATAATGGCTCTCTCTAGGAGCCAATTTGAATTCCTTCATTCTGTCAAAAATTGCAATCCCTTCCTCAACCAGTCCTCCATGGCTACAAGCCGAGAGCGCTGCAATGAAGGTTACATCATCTGGTTCTGTGACCATTTCGAAGATTTTAAGTGCATTATGAGCTAGCCCATGGATTGCATAGCCTGCTATCATTGAGTTCCAACTGACTAAGTTTCTATCGTCCATCAGGTCAAACACTGCTCGAGAGTTTCTTATTCTCCCACATTTAGCATACATATCAATCAGAGCACTCCCCACAAAAGCTTGACCTTCAAATGAATTCTTAGTTGCCCATAAATGGAGCTCTTTTCCAAGCCTCAATGTAGAAACACCAGCACAAGCAGACAATGCACTAGTGACTGTAACTGGGTTTGGCTCTATTTCATCTAATATCATCTGCCTTAATGTTTCAAGTGATTCACCAAAGTACTGGTTTTGTGAGTAGCCCACAACCATTGAGCTCCATGAAATCACATCTCTGTCTTTGATTTTTTCAAATACTTCTTTGGCATATTGAACAGAACCGCATTTGCTGTAGACCGAAACAAGAGCATTCCTAACCCTTCTGTCTGTCTCAAGGCTATTCCTGAATGAGTATCCATGTGTTTCTTTACAGTAATCTAAGCAGAAAATTTGAGAAATTGAAGGAAGAACACTCGCGATAGCCACGACATCAGGCTTTAAACCATCATTCAACAACTCGTTAAAGACCACCATTGCTTCATTGGACATATTGTTTTGTGTTAAAGAAGAGATAATACCGCTGTACGTGACCACATCCAAATCAAAACTGCAAACCTTCATGTCTCTCAGAAGCTGCAAGCTCTCCTCAAACAACCCATTCTGAGCATAAGAAGCAATCAGAGCATTCCAAGTGACTTTATCCTTCCAGACCAAACCATTGAAAATCCTCTGAGCATCCTCAGTCAAACCGCATTTTCCGTAAGCAGAAATCAGAGCATTCTGAATCATGGGAGCACTCTCAATTCCATTTCTAAGTACAAAGCCATGCACTTCTCGAACAACTATATCTATGGCAGAACAAAAGGTAAGGATGCTGATAACTGTCACCTGATCTGGCTTGAATCCACAGCCAATCATCTCACTTAGCTTTTCTACAGCGTCTGAATCAAATCCATTCAAAGCGTAAGCTGAAATAATGGAGTTCCAAGTAACAACATCTCTTTGGGGCATTCTTTCGTACACTTGCACGGCATCTTCCAAGCTGCCACACTTTGCATACATAAAAATCAGCGAATTCGAAACGAATATATCAGCATCAAAACCACTTTCAACACCAAGCTGATGCAATTTCTCACCTTCGCGAAGGTTCGACAACAAAGCGCAGGCCTTCAAAACGCAAGAAAAAGTATAGGAATCAGGCAGGAGTCCTTCTCCCCGCTTTCTCTGAAACAAGCTGATTGCTTCCCTGTATAAACCATTAGACGTGTAACCTCTAACCATGGAATTAAGAAGAAAAATATTACAGATTGGGGAGAGTTCAAAGATAGACAATGCAGTAGAGAGATCCCCGCAGAAAGAGTAGAGAGTGATGAGTTTGTTGGAGAGGAAAGAATCGTATGCGAATCCGGATACGATGACCTTGGAGTGTACTTGGGAGCCCAAAGAAAGGTTTTTCAAGAGGATGCAATCATCAAGGACTTGCATGCATGTAGAGGAAGACATGGTGCTGATAAGCGATTTGGGTGAAAAGGAGGAAACTTTTTTGAGGAATTGAAGATATGACGAAGATATCATGATCAAATTCTTTGCTTGAAAACATGAAGACTTGATTCTCAATTAATAATCTGCATGATCAACAATATCAATGGAGTTAGAAGCCTTTTTTTTCTGAAAGAGTGAATTCAGTGAGCTCTAATAAGAGCATTTCTTTATCATCCTTTTCACATCTTGTCAAGCACCAATCCGACCTATTCGTTTGCTTACTTTCGCTTCTCTAATGTAAGATAAGTATTAAAAATAAATTGAATTAGGATTAAAATAAATCTATGGAGCGATTCATGCCTATAGTCACAGGCATTTTTTTTTCTTTTCTCTGTACATTATTGTATGTGAAAAATATGTCACGACCTATCTTAGAGCGATCCAACAGTTAAGGGCTGCATCACTAAAAGGTCTGACGATCAGCCTAAAGCTAACCGACCGAATCATGGCGCGAGGATCGACTAAAAGCCGATGAGACAGATTGAGGGGAAAATGAGACCCACTGATCGTCGAGACCCACACTACTCGTATAAGTTCATTTGCCATTTAATATATCTGACGCATGTAATATACTAAAAGAACCCCCTCATTGACTAATGATTAGATCACACACTTGTAATTCTAATACTCATAATCCTATGTCTATAAATAGGAATATTTTTTTAATAAAGATTATAAAATATTTGATTTTTATAACTGTCTTTATCTTTCTCGTATCTTTCAATGGGTTTCTGTTTTTAATTTCTCTAAGGTACTTTAAACTACACAAAGCTCTATAATATGATGCTGCATAAATCAAAATATAAAAGATATGAACCTAAGAATAGAAAAAGTGAATCATACCCCAGTTCTCTCATTAAGGCCCATCACCCTATTGATTACAAAAATTCACCATTAATGTAATAAAAATTTCATTAGACATGAATATTAAACGTATCGGCCTTATTTAACAAGCAATGTGTTACGCATATGGGTCAAAATAAAAAATTATAGGTTGATTTATGTACATAACACTATAAACAAAAATAATACATATTTCACGCCAAAATATAATATTTACCTATATAACACATATACTCACTTTAGCAACTACAACTTAGACTAGTTAACTCTGTTAGTTGTAGATATCAATTGCTATAAAAGTGAAGGCGAAGCATCGTGCATTTCATGGGCAAGGTGAGATGGCAGGGACCAAGCTTCGATAAAGTGGGGAGGGAAGGTGGCAATAACAATGGCAAATATATTGGAAAAGGAGTCAGTGGGGTTGACAATGGAGAGATAGGCGGCTTAGTTCTGTGGCAGAAGTGACCAGACTTGTTTGGAGCTAGTGGTGCTAGCTGTAAAATCAATGCAGTAGCAGGGGCAGGATTGTATGGAGGCAAACTCCATGGTAACAATCTCATGGCTTAAAATGGCAGTAGTCTCAGTATCTTGCTAGCTTTTAAATTTCGCTTTCATCATGGTATTGAAGCTTCTGAAGATGACTTCAGGAGGCAGGGCATGCTGATGAATAAATTAAAGTTGAGCGGAGTAATATTGTCATGAAGATCTTTACGTAACTTTTGATAATTACTAATTTGTATTACTTTAATTTTTCAACACTTGAAATAATTATAAAATCACCATGGATTTATGATTTATTTAAGATGAATTTCTGCAATTATCTAGTTAAAATTTTGAGACTAATTTGATTGTAAATCAAAAACATAATTATTTTATAATCACTTTGGATAATAAAATACCACAATCAATCTCCCTAATTTAATATATGTCTATGTGAACAAATCAAACGCTTACTCCTAATTTTTCTTTTGAGATTGCATATTCTGAACAATTTTATTTTTTTACTAACATTTTATCAATTTACTCTAACTGTTCCTTTAAGAGTTTATCTTTATCATAATATCACACTAGGTTTGAAGATTATATATGGCCAGCATATGAACTTAATAAAGGTTGAAGCAAGCTTAACAATCATTCAATATTTAAAAAAAATTACTTGGGGATTAGAAAACCCAAAGTCTGCAAAATTATTTTATACTTTTATTGAAGAAAACTCAACAAAAATTATAGGTTCTTCATAATGCATAAGAAATACAAAGAGTTTCGAGAACATTTGACCTCTTAGGTGATTTCCTTAGCTTGTGAGTGGCTAACACAAATTATCTCTTTTTTTTTTTGCTTTAATTGAGTTCTAATTAAATTGTAATTATATAATTGATAAAGTTAGTGATTCAAAAATAAGTTGATATTGATGCCAAGTGGAATTAAATTTAATATAATCTCATCTAAGTTAAACTCGTAAGTGTCCTATAAGATCCCAGGACTCAATCAACACAAAAATAATCCTAACAAACCTAGGACCCTCTCTAATGACCATAAGACTTCTCTTACTTCCTCGAGCTATGAAGGCTTGGTCAACTCTATTTAACTAATTCAACCTTAATTGGCTTGTGGAGCCCACAAAAGTCAATTATTCCTAGATTCAAAACTTCTTACTCCTAAGGACTCTAATCTACTTAGATGTCATTATGCATCAATTTTAACGCAATCTAAGGCCTTGAAGACTTTGGTCAACTTAGTTGGATCAAGTGGCCCATTAAGACTTGCTAAATAAAATTTAATTAAATCCAATTAAATCATTCTAAATTCAATTCAGTTCAACACAAAAGAAAATTAATAGCTTTAGGATGAAGACAAGGTTTACCCAAACTCACTTAATGGCTTGATTAACCCTCTGATCAAATGGCTCATTAAGGGTCGTCTAAGCCAAATCTTAAATTCTCCCCAATGCGTAGGTTTTAAATAGTCCTAACTCTTTTTACAGCTCTCATTGGATAAATTCAATCTAATCAAAATCCAACTACACCAGCTTGGGCCCTTGACTTGGGTTGACCCATTTGGGTCATCATGGGTTAAATCATTCAAATTCCAATCCAAACCCAATTAAAATAGGTAAAGCATTTCCTATGCTACTCTTAACTTAGTTATACTAAATTCATTTCCACGTGCAGCCAATTGGACCTAATGGGCTCGTAAGCTTATTATTGACCGAATTGGATCAATTGGATCAAAATAAATCAAATTCAACCCAAAATGAAGTTAATTCAACCAAACCACTTCCATAGTCCAATCATGGTAGGCCAAACCTAATCAACCACTATGCAACCCCTAGTTGGGCCAAGTTATGCCATTGACCAAATTTTATCCAATTGTGCATAGTTTGATCTAATTTAAATTAGGCCCAATATCATGTAATCAAACCTTCCCCATCACTACCTTCATGGTTTCAAAACTAAATATATCCTATCAAACGACCATAATGTTCCATTTAAACATAGACCCAATTTTAAACTATTTAGACCCAATGATCCAATTTAGCTAATCCTCAAAAACATTCCTAATCAAATTAAATCCAACTCAATAGGGGATGTGCTTAAGTCTATCCCTAGGCCACTAAACCCTTCAATTGGGCTCAATAATTTTGGACCTAATTTAAACCTTAGATATCTCCATTGATTTATCTCCCTTCTCTCTAATCTAAGCATAAATAATTCTAACCAAAACCCTTTTGGGGGACTCCTACAGCTACTCTGGACCTATCCTAACCCACTTAGCCAGCTTAGTATGCCTTAGCTGGCTTTAATGGCCAACCGAAGCACTTTTTTCAATCCAATTATTGAAACCTCTAGACCAATCCCCAAATTTGTAGCAACACAAGCCTTTCCTAGCTTATGGAGGCTGCCCAGAGTAGTTTGTCCAGGACCAAGGCTATGGTTGACATTTTGGCTCAATTAAAAGAAGCCTAAGTTGAGCCATATTTGCTTGTTCTCTCCTTGCAACTTTTGAGCCTTCGGGCTTTTAAGGGTGGGTCTGAAACAATTTTATCCATCTACTTAAGTTCATAAAGTTCATAAGAATGCAAGATATTCTTCTTATAACTTATTGAGGCATGTCATGACCAAAAGCATTATGATTTTGCTGAAGACAAAATGGAGCCCTTCAAATCAAATTAGAACATTGGAATAATTCTCCAAGCTCATAAGACTCCCCCAACTCTTCTCTCCTTCCCAGAGTATCCAAGGCCTCCAACTATACCCCCTCATATTGCTATGTATGCATGAGATAAATCATGATAAATTACTTATAAATTATCCTTTTAGCTTTTAGACAACTTATTCATGTCATGTTAACCATTAACAATAGTCAATAGTGACCGCGACTTTATATATGTTTAAAAATATAAGGTAAATATGGACGAAATAAATATTCAATAATTGTAAAGTCACACTTATCAATGCAAGTATATGTATCGCTCAAGTAATATAGGGCTCTAATGGAGTCCTAGATATCGATCCCACAGGGAGTAAGATTAGATCTATGAACTAAGATTTTATAAAAAGCAATACTTTAATCACAACAACGAAGTTTAATTTGTTTATCTGTCACTAATAGGCAATTGATATAAATATATAATTTTAATAACTATCAAATAACTAATTATACTAATGAAGGTTTAAATGTGATATTCAATATATAAGAAAGCACCCTTCTCCTTGTCAAGAAATTATAGTGAATGGATAAAGTAAATTAGTTCAAATTATATTGTGTAAAATAAGAGCATACCTATTATTTACACTTTGATCCAGACATAATGAATATTGATTAATCCTACGCTTGTTTACTGAATCTGCGGCTAGGCTGGGAGGATACCGACTCTCACTTCGGAGCTCCCATGTTCCCCTCACCTGAGGGCTAACATCTACACTTCAACACCCAAGCGATATGACCGAATTGGGGATTTTAGTCTGTCACTCTAAAATCTCCAATTCTACGCCCGATAATATTATTTCCCTATTTATTTGCACCCAACTTCCAAAGGCTTTGACCTCCCTGAATCTTGGATGTAATTTTCACTTTAGTTGTAAAACTCAACATATTTTAACAAATCAAACAAATCAACTGGCCAGATTGAAAGTAAATTAAGATTGAAGTTAAAAGATCATCACAATTTCTTAAATATTTTCATG